GGAGTGCAGAAAACTAGCATACCCTTTCTGAACACCCAGGCCTTCCCGTGCCTTCTCATTGACTTCAGTCTTCAGGATGTGGGGCAGAGAACCACTTTCTGCTGTGCAGATGGAGGACATGGGTTGACAAGTCAAAGCTTACATCAATTCTGGGGAGTCTAGGAAGGAGAATGACCCCCTCCATCAGGGACTGACCCTGGAAAATACTCTGTGTGCCAAATCCTCAGTGTTAGCTGCAGTCCTGTCTACCTGATACCTTCTGTTTGCTTAATTCTCTTGAAATGTGCTTTTTTTCCCCTTTGCAAATTGAAAACAATATGAATCATAATTGAAGAGTTGCCTTATTCTTTTTTTTTTAAATTCTTTTTTGTGCATTGTACCGTCAAATCAGATCTGACTGGTATAGGAGGAGATTGTCCCTCCTTCTCCAGCAGAGCATCTGGTGGATTCGAACCAGGCACATCTGGGATTGCAGTGTACCTTCTTGCCACTAGGCCACCAGAGCTCCCTCGAAGAGTTGCCTTATTCTTGTGTTCATTTTCCCTCTTCAGGCCCTGTTCCTTTCACCACACCTTGCTGGTAACAGTTTGATGGCACCACTTGCCCTTCTCCTTCGAGACTCCTCTGTCTGATACATAGGAAAACTGGGAATTGCTCTTTTACCAGGCTGCACTACTCCTTAGGTAGTATAGACTGAACCTAACTGATGTGAATGAATGCGTACAGTATTTGATAGGGAGAGAAAGAGGAAGGTATGCATATTAACAGGAGAGAAAAGACTTTAGTTATTGAAAAGGATATCTGCTACTGACTTTACCATTCCAAAGAGATGCATTTTAAAACAAGAAATAAGATTTAATGTTGTTGTTATTGTTGGATGCTATTATATGCTATCAAGTCACCTGCTACTCATAGCGACATTATATACAACAGTTCTGAACCCTGCTTTATTCTGGGCCAACCCTCGGACACACCTACCCCCATTACCTCAGTAGCTAAGTCAATCCATCTCATCAAGGGTCTTCCTCTCTTATGCTGTCCCTCCACACTCCTAAGTGTGACATCCCTCTCCAAGAACTAGTCCCTTCTTGCAGCATGCCCATAGTATATGAAATAAGCTTCAGAATCCTTGCCTCTAAGGAGCAGCCTCATTTCACATTCTCTAGGATGAACCTGTTCATTCTCCTAGCAGTCTACAGTACATTCAATACTTTTCTCCAGCACCACAGCTCAAAGGCACCAATTCCCCTTCTATCATCGCTAGTCATTGTCCAGCTTTCTGATGCTTAGCACTTAAATGCAAAGACCATTACCTGGACTGACATTGCTCTTCAGTACTCTGGGGAGGTCCCTGACAGCAGACTTTCCCAGTGCAATTCATTTTTGTTTCCTGGCTGCTGGTACCAAGAGTGTTGATTGTGGAGCCAAGCAAACTAATGCTGTTAACATTCTCAGTCTCTTCACTATCTATCATGATGGCTGTCAGTTGGCCAAGTTGTAAGAATCTTTGTTTTCTTGATGTTGAGCTTCAATCCATATTGAAGGCTGCAGTCCTTGACCTTTGTAGCAAGGCCTTCAGGTGCCCCTCAGTTTTAGCAAGTAGGGTTGTTTCATCTGCATAATGCAGGTTGTTGATGAGTCTACCTCCAATCCTGATGCCACACCCTTCCTCATAGAGCCCATCCTGAATGATCTGTTCTGCATATAGATTGAAAAGGTATGGAGATGAGACACATCCCTGGCATACACCCTTCCTGATTTTGAACCATGCAGTGTTTCCTTCCTCTCGACTCCCTCCTGGTCCAAGTATAAGTTTCACATAAGCACAATAAATTTTCTGGGATTCCCATCCTTCTCAGAGTTAGCCACAGTGTGTTGTGATCCACATAGTCAAATGCCTTTGCATAGTCAGTGAAACACAGATAGACATTCCTCTGATACCCTCTGCTTTCAGCCAAGATCCATCTAACATTAACTATAATATCCCTAGTATTACTTTTCTAAACCAGCCTTCACATCTGCCAGTTCTCTGCTGATAATAGTTTTTGTATCATTTTCAGCAGAATCTTGCTTGCATGTAATATTAATGATATTGTTCAATAATTTCCGCACTCTTGTCAGATCAACTTTCTTTGGAATGGGAACAAATATGGATCTCTTCCGTCAGTTGATCAGGTGTTTGTCCTTCAGATTTTTTGGCACAGCTTGGTTTGTTGAAATATGTCAATTGGTATGCTATAAATTCTTGGGGCCTTGTCTTTTGCCAGTTCCTTCAGAGCAGCTTGAACTTCTTCCTTCATCACCACAGGCTCTTGCTCATATGTTGTTTCATGAAATTCTTCTGTGTCAGCCAATTGTTTTTGGTACAGAGACTCTGAGTACTCCTTCCATCTTTTTTTGATTCTTTCTCCATCTTTTAATATTCTGCCCACAGCATCCTTAAGTATTGCATCTCGAGGCTTAGAATTTGTTCTTCAATTCCTTCGGCTTAAGAAATGCCAAGAGAGTTCAGTCTTTTTCATTTTCTGACTTCAGCTCTTTGCACATTTCATTATAATGCTTTGCTTTGTCTGTCTTTGTTTGCCCTTTGAAATCTTCTGTTCAGCTCTGTAATTTCTTCCCTTTGCTTTGGTTTCTCAGCATTCTAATGCAATATTCAGATTCTGTTCTGACATCCATCTTGGTCTTTTCTTCCTTCTCTGTCTTTGTAATGTTCTTTTGCATTCTTTATGAATGATATTCTTGATATCCTCCCACAGCTCATCTCATCTTTGCTCATTAGTGTTCAAGGCCTCAAATCTGTTCCTGAGATGGTTGTGAAATTCGCATGGGATAGACTTGAGGCGAACTTGCATATGAGTAATTGGTGGTCTGTCCAACAATCAGCCTCTGACCTAGTTTTCACAGCTGATATTGAGTTTCTCCAACAATTTTTCCCACAGATGTAATCTATCTGATGCTTGTGCATCAGGTGAAATCCATGTGCATAGTCTGCATATATATTTCTTACAAAATGTATTTTCTGTTAATAAGTCATTGATCATACATAATTTTGTCTCCAGCCTCAATTCTGTCACTAAGCCCATGTTTTCAAACCACTAATCCTTCTTCTCTGTTTCCAACATTTGCCTTCCAGTCACTTCTTCTTATTATTATTATTATCCATGCATCTTGATTGCACAATCAATCGATTTTTCACTGTAAAAGTTGGTAGTCTGTAGAAGACTTCCCCCTTTTTGGTTCTAATTGCAGACGATAATATGATCTATTATGCCAGAGATGAAAAAGTGAGGAAAAAATGAGGTTTTTTTCATAGTTAAAAAAGTCATTTCTCAGTCCATCTTGAAATACAGTGCTGTGACAGGATAATATCTATACACATAAAAGGAGGTCCAGTGAAGAGTTCATTTTATATAACAATAATTACAATAAAGTTTAAAAAAACCCATAAAACACCTTTTAGAAGCCCCTTAGCAGTAATTACT